TCTGCTAGATCCATATAGATGTTGAATGTGCCCAGAGAGGAAATGGACCCATTAAAACTTCCCCAGTCAGGAAGCAAGTGCCAGAGCTGCAGTCCCCAGCTATGGGGGAACTTCCTAGCTGAAGACAATGGGGCTAGAACTGGCATCAAGTCCCTGCTGGAATGATCCCTGTCCTAGTGATTTAAAATAAGTCAGGAAGGCAAATTTGTTTTGTCATGGTGCAAGTCTCAGGCCAAGAATGATGCACTGCAGAAAATAGTCCTGGCCTATGAGTAGTAGCTCTGAGATACCTTGATAATATGAATAAATATATACTAAAAACCGCAGAAAAGTCTCACTCAAGCAATATATTTTAAACAAGTTTACAGCTTTTTCTTCACACAGTATGCTTTCCCAAAATATTGGCACTGACAACTGCTTGACTTCATATGTAAACCCAAACCAGACCTAATTTCTCTTCTTCTGTAAGTCTAGCCTCATGAAATTCCAGCAAGAGCTTTCTTTAATGTGTTTGCTCCAACTTGACTCAAAAAAAAAAAAATCTGAAAGTGCACCAAAATTCAACCACTTCCAAGACTTTTAATAGAATACCTCTGATGCTGTAAGTGCTGAGAGCACTCTGAAAACTTGAACATTCAGACTCAAACTCTGCCAGCACAGAGTGAAGACTTTTTTTGATTCTTGCTACATTTTAGATTTAACATTTACCTTCAATGCCAGAAGACACTAAAATACATTTTTAATATGGGAGCTACAAATTCTCTAGATCTGCTAACATTTTAAAAAAGATCCATTGGATGTAATCCTACCAGCTTGCTCCTGGCCTAAACCATCACTGACTGCTCTGGAAGATTTTTTAGATTAAGCTCTACAGCACCAGAAAATCCATGTGCAATAAAACGTAGAAAGCACAAAAAATGACTTTGTTTTGATATGAACAGAAGGTCTGTAAATTGGTTCGATGTGCCTAATAACTTTCAAAATCATTTAAAGGCGGAGTTTCAATAAGCAGCCAAGTTTTCAGCAGATGCTCCGGGATGCTTGATGTTCAACTCCTGAAAAATCTGTCTGTTCAGATGCTGAAATACAGATCTAGGCATCCACTATATTAATGATCTGGTTTTGGAAAAAAAAGAAAAGAGCCTAATGTTTGCTTACATTAGACTAGAAATGGAAAAAAAAATTGTGGTGGAATTTTTGTTTTCTTTTTTTCCCCTCACTCGAGCTGCCTTTTTTCTTAAGACGAAGAGGATCCACTTTCATTCTTTTTTCTACACAGGTACATTCATTATTGAATAAGCACCATCATGTGCTCAGTGTGATTAAAAAAAGAAATGTAGGCCTTGTACTCAGGTAGCTCACAAGAGAAAATAAAAACCCCAAGAGATGTCATGGGGGATAGTATTTGCTTCCACCACGTCTTAAAGGAATAAAAGAAGTATTGTGCTCTGTAGTTATGGATGATGTTTCTCCAGCAAAGGTAAAAGAAGAAAACACTTTCTTATATTTCTAATATATGATCCTGGAGAAATAAGGGTTTAATGTGTGTGTGTTTGTGGGTGTAATACTTATAATATATACACTTTTTTAATGGGATGTGTTACAACCTTGTGGTTTCAGAAAAACTTGATTAATAGCTCACTTTCCAATATTGGCATAGTAAAAGATTTTTGTAAGTTAGATTTTTGCACTTCTCCAAAAGCTGTGTCTGGAACCACATCACTATGTTATATTACATTTAAAGACGAAACCGATGGCGTACTACCATATGTATCAAATCTGAAGTAGCTGAATGCCCATTTTCAGATGCTTGTAGCTACTGTTACAGAAAATTTAATTCAGCTGCATCCTTGAAATTGCTTTTGAAATTTCTTTACAAACATAGAAAAAGACTTAATCTATCATATTATTCTTCTCATGTTCCAAATACTTATATCATGAAAACCTCAACACAACAGAAATTATATAAAGAATTCTTATTTGACATATTAAAGACACAATGTTTTAAATTTCATTACTGCTTTCTTGACTGTGTGTCACAATTCTGTAAAGATCAGGTTCTCGTGCTGAATTGGGAACGTCTTCACTGGGATGAATCTATTGTTTCCCTGCTGAGTTTAGTGGTTTCAGTTTGTAGCCTGCTAAAAAGTAGGAAGTTCTGCTTAAAAAATAGCAACAAACAAAAAAAACCTCATATTAGAATCTCTGCGGAAAAGAGCCCATTGAGCACAAGTAAGGATCACACAGATTTTCCATCCAAGCCACCAAGGGGGCTCCGAAGATGCAAAAAGCAGCTGGTAGCACATTGCAAGAGCCTGTCAAAAGAGGCTGCTGCACTCATTCTTCAATTACCTGAGCTGCACCTCTTCGTTAAATATTTGTCTTCAAATCAAGAGAAGAAAGAACCAAAGGATGTTTTCTACACAGGAGCTTGACAGTCACAGAGTGGTTATGGGGCATAGTCAGAGACAATCCCCATGTAAACACTTCTGCTTCCCAAGTCAAAATTGCTTTTGGTGCAATAAATGAGATGTACACTATATCTACTATATATCTACATGCTATCAGGTAGCACGTACATAGCATTATTTCACTTATCAGTTTACTGGATTAGCCAAGTCACTGTCATATGTCGTTGTAACTGATATGATATTTTGGAAGAAAAGAAGAGAAATTTTGCTCCATGTTTTTGCCTTAGGTAAACAACACTCTGCATCTGTATACTCTAACACTTATTTTACAAAGCATGTTTAGTGACTCAGAAAAAAAATTAATCCAGATTTGCTGAAGGAGTTCCCTTTATTTTTCACAATATTTCTCACTTTAACACTAACCTACCAAAATTTTTAAAGTGAAAATCTTATAAATGCATAGGACACACACATACATATGTGGAATACACATGCTTCTCACTAACAATTTTCAGCTAATATGTTAACTAGAAATTGACCGTGGCTTTCATATTTTCTCCCCTGTATGTTAAGTCAATGACCTATTTAAGTATGTTAGCAGCAATTTACATGTCTTGTGACTTCAAATTTCACAAAGAAATACTCTGTTTTGTGTTATTTACATTAAAAAGATGTACTATGTAAAACTTCACCTTTTAAAAAAATTACTCTATGCTAAGTATTTAAATTATTTCATGCTTTCAAAAGGCACAATTAAGTATCTAATGAGAACTTCCATTCAATGTTACAGATAATACAAAAAGAGAAAAAATGTTTGAGACATCAATGATAATATTTTAAATATATTGGCATAGGAAAGTAGATGTCTTTTTGCTTTATTAAACTGACAGTTCAGTTCTGAAACTTTATTTTGAAAAGATTTAAAAAGGATTTGTGTCTTTAGAAATAAAAAATATAACAGGCATATCTAAAAAATATAGAAGAGAAAACCTGATTGTTACTACTAATGAAATAGCTGATGACAAAATAGTAGTCTTTTTGATTTTGATCACAAAAAATAAACTGGTAGTGACAGGATATGATGGATAGATTTGACATCCTGGCAAATCACTGTCATTGATTCAATTATTCTAATTCAGAATAAAAGCTGTATACAGTATGTGTTTATGCTACACTGGAGTTTTTTAAGTGATTGACATTCATCATATTAGTTAGACAGTTTTAAAAGCTATGCCTTTGTTTTACACAGCGTTGTCAAGAAAAAAATAAAGTAGAACCTGGATTGCAGAAAAAAGAAGCAAACCACTTAACCAACTCTTGGTTCCAAACCCATCAAAATAAGTTACCATTATTGCATCCTATTAACACCTTCTTTGAAGAGTCAATTTCACTCCAGCCATGTAATACACTATTATAAAGACTAGATTTTGAAATTGTAATGCAATCTTGCAGCTGGGTGGCTTGGAAGTTCTGCGGAGAAGAAGATATTACCTTTCAAAATGGAAGTCAGCCTCAGAAGAAAGAATGCAAACTACTTTAATTTACAGGTCAGCTTTGCTTTACCATTCTTTCGTTTCATGAGATATACACAGAGCTACATACAAAATAGTTGGAAGTTAAAAAATTGTATATCTGAGGGTAGAGAAGCCTGAATTGCTTGTATATTCTGCCCTGCTTTAGACCAGCATGCTGTGATACCCTTCCCCGAGCTCAAATGAACTCTTCTGGTTTTCTAGCATTAATGTAGCTGTCGGTTTGAATTTCAATCTTGAATTATGTCTGTTGACATAATTTCATAGTGCTGACTTCAATTGTTTAGGATTACTGTTTTGAACTACATAAGGAAATAAATTCTTTTCTCTATGGTTAGTAAATTCTACTCAAGTGCATTTTAATGCATGGAGTAAGCCATAAGGCAAAGTAATTATTTATAATATATTCTGATTCAAAACTCAACCATTCTTAATTAGTGGCATATTAGAATAAAAACTGTCTTAGATATTTTAAATTTATCATTACACATTTAATAAACTAATGTAAGTATTTCCTGAAATTTAAGAATGGTATTTCAATTAGAAAAATTAATGTTTATAAAACCATAACTGTGTAGTTTGCTTTTGGAATAACACGTGACAATGAATTGCTTAGTTTCATTCCTTTATTTCAATAAACCGTCCAACTTAACTTATTATTCATACAAAATCTTCAATATAAGTATATAAAAATTCCATTGGGAAAAATGTCCCTTTATTTTTATTGTAAAAAAAAAATCTAGAATTGAAAGGATAAGAGTAATTTTCATATTTTAAGGAAAGGAACAAAATACTGTATGTTTCCAGTTGAGCAGAACAATGGCAGGACCCAACATAACAGAAGCTTTAGCAAAAAGCAAAATCCAAACAAGCCTAAAATTCATACAAAGAAACCAGAATTTAAAGGGGGGGAAAAAAAAAAAAGGCGGCACCATATGATAACATGTATTTTTAAAGACTGCTGGGTCAAATCATTAAGAAAAATATTTATATAAGTCATTAACACTCATAATTAGAGTGTCACATAAATCTGAGTGAAACTGCTAAGTAGAAATCACTAGAAGTCCAGGTGCTTCTTGCCGATGGCCATAGCACCACATCCTGAGCTCAGCAGTTTGGCGGATTCTGCCAGATCCTGTTTGCTTGCGCGGCTCACTGTGTCTGACAAGTCTGGAGGCAAATGCAGTCGCTGTGGCAGGAGATTTTCAGAAGGGAAGGGAGAGAGAGACGGGGAGAGAGAGAAGAAAGAGAGAGAGGAAAAAACAGGGAGGGGAAAAAAAAAAAGAATAATTGCAGCAGAATTATTTTCCATAGCACATTCCAAACTGCAGTCTTTTTCCTGCCTGACCAATGTTTACTCACACAAATAGAACACTTCCCAGGCACTCTTTTAGTCTGACTTGGAAACAGTTTTCTATATTTTCAATATATTGGATTCTGTAAATTGAAATAGATTTTTTCCTCATGAAAATTTTCTAAACAAAATCCAAATTTGCTTGAGCTATTAGATTATATTGATGGGCATTTTTTCTTTAAAAACAAGTGTTTTTCCTGTATGTCCACCGCTACATAAAATCCTTTGATTTCTATGGCACTACAATATAAGTATATTTTTATTTCAAACATGCATACTTTGTGGCAGAGTATGAAAATAAACATGATGGTCAAAAGATGGAGAGGGCTCACCCTGGTTGCAGCGTTATTCTGTTAAACATTCCTTCTTCATACCCTACTGATAGTTGTTAATAAAAACAGGCAGCAATAGTAGTTGCATTTGTATAAGGCAATCATATACACAAATCAAACCCTGCCAGCCCTTGCCAGTTGTAGGAACATTACACCCATTTTACAGATGAGGAAACTGAGACACAGGTTACACTGTTGTCCACAAGCACACGGTCCTTGCATAACAAACCTTATTTTTCAACTATGACAAAAAATATTTCAACTCTCCCCTCTGAGGATCTTTTTACACTGGAGATATATATGAGACATGACGTTACCATTTAGTTTTTGTAAAGCAAGGTGAAAATTAATGTAAGACTGAGGTTTTACTTGGTTAATTACTGTCTCACTTTTGGACATTGTGAGGTACTGAAAGCTGGTCAGATGAGACAGTTGAGCATCTTCTACACAGTGCAATAATTTATGAAATGGTTTCATGGAAGGAACATATTTCTTGAAAGATTTAGTAAGCAAAGGCTAAAACGAGGCTTTTCTTTTAAATGCACATACTTCTGAAAGAACAGGATAACAGTAATGGCTGCAAAGCTATAGTAGAAGGCTGTGTGGACTATCCTTATTCTCTGCTTTTGCTGTTTTTGCTTTTAACACAACACGTAAATACAGCTGCCTTTTATTAAATACTTTTGTAGCTTTTGTAGGATAGGATTTCAATTAAAAAGCATAAGAAATATCTGTATTTACAGTGGGCTGACTGTTCAATTCATTGCTGGCTTTGAGATTGTGCAATTAGGCATGACTTGAGAGGTGTTCCAAAGTGTTTCCTACCATGGGCCACTCCTGGATGTGGGAAGTGTAGGGAGAACATGTGCTGGGTTGTTGTCTTCTCCAAGGGAAGGAAATGCATAAAGCAGTGCATGTGGCGTAGGAAAGCCTGTGCCCAGGGTGAGATGACATACCTCAGTGTTGAAATAGCAGAAATGTGTGTATTTATTTGTAGCACTTTGCCTATGAAGCACAATTTATGTATCAAACCCCACCCCCTGTATATACCATTTAGTAACTACACAGCTCTTACATTTCATTGTATTAAAATCAGTGCTGTGGTGTGGTATCCTTCACCTACAGTTCTTCCCTTAATCCTAAGAAGGTTAAGCATGGCTGTGGATGGTAACTGTGCTCCATGATGCCTCATTTCTACATCAACACCATATAAACTACGGCACGTGCCTATCTTGTCTGTCTGCTGACAAAAGGATTTGCTAGGAAAGAGCCACTGTACAATTTGGATTGTATGAAGCTGGCTCTAGCCACCAGAAAATGAAAGATGAGGAAAAGCCAGGAAGCGCAGGGGAGGACTTGGCAGATCTTTTGGTCACATTTTCTTTCCAAAAAGTGTACAGTACTCTGCTAGCAGGGTACAGGGTATCTGGTGTGCAGGAGGTGGAGAGACAAGCAAACTAATCCAGCCTTCTCCCACTCACTATGAGCATCTCTCTGCCCTCACCAGGGAGTGGGAGAGGCGGCTTCCTCCAGGGGAAATGTAGTACCGCTGTCTTCCTCCTGCAATTACTGACCCTTTTGCCAAGTCTGCCAAATGGATTCAGAGTAAGTTGATGGAGAGCAAACAGAACTGAGACTCAGCAAACTCATTTTACACAGGGATTAATTAATATCACAGATAGAGAAGAATAGTAAACTCTGCCATACTGGCCTGGACTTAAAATGTGGTCAAAAGAAAAAAATCTTTGATATTTACACAGCCTCTTAGTCAACGCTGTGTTCGTTCACTAATATATATTATAAACAGAAAACAGATAGAACAATGTATACAAATTTGTAAAGACTCAGATAGGAAAAGTAAAAATTAAAGATCCTCAGATTGGATTGAATTAGGATTTTACAGATGTATTTGTTATGATATAGTGTTTTATTATACATGCATATAACTCTTCTTCCCCCACCTTATTCAATGAGGAGGATGTACACTGCTCATTTAGTGCCTGGCTATTCAGTATTCTGTTTTCTTGTCACTGTTTACTCTGAACTTTTCTGACGTATTTATTGTACACTATTCAAACCTTGTTCTGAAGACAGAATGGCTTTTCAATAGCCCATGTCAGTATATAGCACTTGAATGCTTCACAAATACCAACTGTGTTATTTTCCTAATATTCTTGTGAGATAAGGCAGCAAAGTTACCTCCATTTTGGGGACAGGGAATTGAAGCACATAAAACACATGGCAAAAGGTATCTACTAATTTCAGAAACACAATTTGAGGCATTTAGGACTTGCTTTTCTAGAATGTTTAGCACTGAACAGCATTTCACATGATCAAATGCTAACTTCACTTGCAGCTGTGAGTGCTTAGTATTTCTTCAAAAATCCCAAGTCAGGCACTCGGAAAGAGAGAGACACAAAATAAAGAGTACAGAAATAAAAATGCTGGGTTAAAGTGACATGATCAGACAGAAGCTCAGTGGTATAGGTAAAGACACATCATACCTTGATATCCTTCAACCATCCTAATTATGAGACCATCCCTCCTGCAATCCTTGCCCTCTCCACAATCCCAATTTTAAAACGTTACAACAAATCACTGGTTCTCCAGGAAGCATATTTCACTGTGTATGCCACATTCATCCTCAGATCAGATGTATTCTGAACAATAAACACCACCAGGGTCCTCTGAAAACAACTGAATATTATCCTGCCATTAAGATCTGAATCATAGCACACAACACACACTACCTCTGAATAGGCATTTCAAAATATCATTCCTTACATTTTCTGTGCACAGTTAAAAAAATATAAACAGGGCTGCAAATATTAATCCTATTAAATATTTTAACACCATTACAAGAATACTCAGAATTTTAAACCACAAACAAACTGGAAATTCTTTGCAGGACATTATACAGACATCCACAGGTTAAACAACAGGCCTTTAATTTTGGCACTGATAGGGACACTGCGGTCACTTGAACTAAGGCAGTAAGTGATAGCATGAATAGGCTGTGATCCTTTTTGAACACCAGCATTACAGAACCATCAGACATTTTCACAGATATCTGCTGACCACAGAGAAACAATCACATTTAAAGTCCCAGTTTAGGACAAAATGTTTTCTGGTGGACAGACTTCTCTGCTATTTCTGAGGCTGTGACCTCCATCCCTTTCAATCTCTCTCTCTTAGTAGTCTGATAAGAATCAGGCTGATTTTGCTCACATCAGCAATCCCAGTCCTCGTTTCCCAGGCCTCACATCCTGCTACTGGTCTTCATAACAAAAATGCCCCTGCTCCAGTTGTCTGCACTCCCCAGCCTTTGCCCCAGCCAG